GGTTTCTCTAATTTCCCCCATCAAGAGAGGCAGTAAGACATAGAAGTCCAGACTTTGCAATAGGATGGATTGGGTTTGCATTCTGGCTTTGTCCCTTTCCAGCTCGGTGACCTCAATCAAGCTATTTACCTGCTCTGAATCTGTTTTTTCATCTGTAAATCAGGGGAATTTAGTACTTGCCTGCCAAAGCTGTGGTGAAAGGGAAATTAGATTGGGGTCCCCAACCCCCAGGCCCTGGACCAGCACCAGTCTGTGGCCTGTTAGGAGCGCGGGCCGCACAACAGGAGGCGAGTGGCTGGGGGAGCCAGCACAGTTTCATCTGCAGCCGCTCCCCAGCACCAGCATGGCCGCCTCAGCTCCACCTCAGATCATCAGGCATTAGATTTTCATAGGAGCCCCGGTTCCTGGTGCTAAAAAGGTTGGGGACCGCTGAATTAGATAACCTGTAGGTGCTCAGTAAATAATCATCATTATTGTGTGGAAGAGGACCAAGACGAGAGAGGTACGAGTCGTACACACTCCTTCCGCCAACGCACGCACGCACGCATGCACGCACGCACGCACGCACGCCTTCCTTACGGCTGCAGCCACAAGGAGATCCTCTTAAAATGCGTGTGAGATTGTAATTCTTCTGTTCAAATTCCCCCAAGCATCTCTCACCCTCAGTCGAAGCCGAAGCCTTTACAAAGGCCGGGGGCCCTGGGTAGCCCACCCCCTCCTCGCTTTCTCTCTCTGCCATGCTCCCCTTGCTGCCGCAGCTCCTTGCCGCTCCAAGACACCCAGGCACGCTCCCACCCCAAGGTTCCCGCACTGCCGCCCCCTCTTTCGGAATGCATGTCCCCCAACATCTGTCTGCGTGGCTGCTTCCTCTCCTCCTTCCCACCTTTGTTCAAAGGCCATCCTGTCAACGAGGCCTCTCCGGCCACTCTGTTTCGGGCGGGGTCCTCAGACTTCTCGCTCTTGCTGGCTTGATTTCCTCCACAGCCTGACCGTCGCCCGACACACTGTGAAACGCCTTTTGTTGATTTTCTCTACTCACGGGAATGCAGGCCTCACAAAGGCAGGGGCTCGGGGGTCTATTACTATGTGCACATTCACAGTGATCCCCACCACCTAGGCATATAAGTAGGGGCTTCATGCTTATCGAATGAATACCTGAATGAAGGTGAGGACTTGAGTTCTGGAAGTACAGGTAAAGGGAGTGGGTCATGGCATGAAAGACATCGTCACTTTCCTTTTTTTTTTGCCAGATGAGGAAGTTGGACTGGACCCCGGGGAGACCGTGAACCCATGGGAAGTGTGCACCTCATTGGGTGAGTTACTGCCTCCATGTGTTTTTCTGGGATGAGGGTCCTTAGCTTCCAGTAGACATTTAACAGAGTCTGTGATCTCCCAGACGAGCTTACCACCCTCCCTGTTCTGACATTTCACGGTTGGCTCCAATAGGCTCAAATCCTTGATATCTAGGGACCTGTGATGCTAACATTCCGTGATCTTATTCAAGTGTCAGCAGCCACAGTGGTCCTGGCCCCACAGAGGGGAGTGAGAACCAGAGGGGACCCTGGCAGGGTCAGCATGGTGAGAGTGGCGGGTGGGAGTGGTGGTGAGGGGGGGACTGTAGGAACCCGGGAGGGGAGACAAAGGAGACTTCTATGTTATATGCGCTGTTTTCTTTCTTTTATGTAAAAGAAAGTGGATTTAAAGCAAATGTGACAAAATGTCAGCAGTCATCAATGCTGGATACTGAGCACAGGGGTGTTTATCACAGAAAGCTTTGTACTTTCCTGTATGTCAAAACTTTCTTGAAAAAATATGGGTTCGGAGGTGGGCAGGTAGCTTATGGTTAGGAACGGAGAGGCCGTTTCTGGGCGCCTGAGAAACCTGGACTTCGGGCATTTTTCCAGCATGCGTCTGGGCAGGAAGGATGGCTGGTGTCCACGCCCATTCCCGGAGCTGTCAAGCCCCCTTCTCCTCCCTTGCTCCCCCTTCCCAAGTCTCGGTTTCCTGCCTTCATGGGGAGTAGAGAAAGGCTGAGAGGCCTCGTGCTGGGGGTGAAGCTAATTCATTAGTGACGCCTCAACAAGGACTGGGAGCCCGCAGTGCCAGCGTGATTCATCAACATGATTGCCCGCTGCCAGCCTGCGTGGGCCCAGAACGCCAGCACATTTTACCTGCCCCCACTGAGAGGGACCTGGTGGGAGGCGAAGGTACAGCATCTACCTAGAGCAAGAGAAAGACTCAGAGAAAGGAGAAGGCTGGTCCCCTGTGCCCTTGAACCCAGGAAGCTCTGTCAGGCTGGTGTTGGAGTTGCAGGGGCACATGTGACTCCTGCCCAAGCAGGCAAAGCCCAAGAGAGCTGCCTGGTGCTAGAGTGCCAGCTCTGAGCATGTGGTGGTGGTGGTGGTGGTGGGGGGCAGCTGGCTGGGCTTCCTCCTCCACAGAGAATGTTCCCTTTGGGGGAACTGCTTGAAGGGCAGCAGCGGGGGTGGGTGCTTACCCTTATACTGTCAGCCTGGATGGGTTTTCCTCAGCTTTCTGGTGTCTGAGGTATCATTTCTTCCAAGTTCTCCCAAATGACTAGAAGGGAGAGCGTTGGATTCGGGCTTACATGAGGTCTGGAAGGAGCTCGAAGTCCCCCTGGTCTGGTGTTTGGGCTCTACTTACTCTCTTCTTGGGTCCCCTACCTCATTCTTTGCAGTGTCCATCCCAGGACAGGGGTGTGTGGGTGGTTCCTGGCTCAGAGCAATACCTGCGTCTGTGTTCCCTGTCACCTGTTCACCCCAGGACACCCCTTGCCCGATTACAACTGTTATTATTCTGCCCTGTGGTTCCTTTACCCCACACACATACATGGAGTATCTGAGCAAAAGAAGCCAAGAGCAGAAAAAGTACACGCTGAATAATTTCATCTATATGAAATTCAAGAACATGTAAAACTGATCTATGATGATAGAGGTCAGGATCTTCGTTGCCGCTGGGAGGTGGGAATTGGCTGGAAGAGGCACGAGGGAACTCTAAGTGATGGAAACATTACGTGGGTGTTCACCCCTGTCAAAAGTCATTAAACTGTACACTTACGATCTATGTATTTCACTGTATGTAAAGTTTGCCTCCATTTTTTAAACGTTAAAAATTTTCATTGAATACTTCCAATGTGCCAGACCCTGTGCGGGCAGGGGAAACAAGCTCGCCTGCTCTGTGGAGCTTATAGGAAGTGTGGTTCTTATCCTGACTTGCACTGGCCATTGCTCTCTGGGCTTGAGCTACCTCTCTCTCCACCTGCAGTGGGGATGGGAGTGGGGGTGGGTCAAAGGCTGCCGGGAGGTCCCTTGAGCCAGTTATATGGTCACACGCAGGACAGAGGAGGCATGGAGCCCGCAGACCCGCCTCCCTGGCTGTAACTTCTACTCACTATGCAACCGTAAGCAAGTACCTAATCCCTTTGGGGCCACTTTTGTCATCTTTCACATGGGAACGATAATGCTTTCCTTGTAGTTCTGGCACGAGAGTTAGAGGCTCCTGTGTGAGAAAAGTCACTGCCAGAGGCGGAGTCATCATTGTTTCCACTTGCTGGTGTGGTACAGTTAAGAGCACAGGATGGAGAGTCACACTGTCTGGTTTCAAATCCTAGCCACTCACCAGCCAGCGGGCTGACCTTGGGCAAGTCACCCAGCTCAAGTCAAACCTCTCAGAGCCTCCATTTCCCCATCTTTAAAACTGGGATAATGAGGGTACCTACCCATAGGTACGTCGCAAGTGTTCGATGCAATGCTCTCAGTAGTGCTGGGCACGCAGCAGGCGAGCAATAAATGGGAGCCAGTGTTTCTGCCAGGAGCTTTGGCAGGAGGGCTCTGAATGGGAGGGGAGAAGGCAGGGGCACACGGCTGGGCTGTTGGTGGGAACATGCGCAACCGGAAGAGTCACAGAATGAAAGTGGTCATCGTTGGTGGCACTCATAGGCGCTCACGTGTCCTCTGTCCGCCGCAGCCTTTGAGTATAGCTAGAGGGAGGTGGGAGGAGAGAAGGGTGAGAGAGCCCTCACGAGGAACTTGTTGGGCAATGAGGGTGTCCGGGGCAGGGAGGGGGCGGAGCCAAGCCCCAATTCTCCGAAAATCCTCCCATGTGACTCACCCTGAAAAGAGCCAGAAAGTAACACTGTTCCGAGTTACCATCCCGAAGTGACTATAGCGGGGAGATTGGTCGTACGCCGCCGGACCTAAGTGGCTAACAGTGACCGCAATCCTCAGTCCCTCCTCGAGAACCGCGTGTCCAGAGTCGCGGGTCGCGCGCCCACGTTTTCTCCGTCCTCGGTCCCTTCTTGGACTGGCCGCTCTGGGAGCACAGGACCGCGCGCCGAACGGTTCGCTGGGACTGGAAGTGTGGACAGCGTCGGACGTCGGGTCTGTGCTGGCACAGCGCCAGGCTGGCGAGGCGCGGGCCTTGGGTTCCCTTGGCTCGCGCTGGTTCGGGGGAGGGT